TTTTGAGTGAATGTGCAAATTTTTAATGTTAACAGGTTTTACCATGTTATTACAACATTTAACCACTTTTTATTAATTTAAAAATTTAGAAATTATTTCGAATTTAGATCTTGTACAAGAACTACAGCAAAAATCAGTTTGATGCATATTTTATCAATATTTTAGAAATTGAATTTTATTTATCACCAGTATTGACTTCAATGGATTTCATTAAATTCCTTTGAACACGACTGCTCAAAACGGTCTAAATTTATGAAACCTACACATTCAAAACATTATTACTCTGAAATGTTTAATGTAAATGTTAAGTGTAAGTGAAATGTTAAGTACTGTAAGGTCTTTCATGACACTACATATTCTGGGGTGTGAATTTGATAGGTGCTTGATATAAAATAAATGGTGCTTTAAAAAGTCCTTGAAAGTCCTTGAATCTGGTATTCATGAAAGAGTGGGAACCCTGCCTTTAAGAGTAGGGTTTTTCCACTACAGTGGTTCAGGCTGTGTAAATGCTGAAATTAATTTTATACTGTCTTACTGTATTGTTTATTTCTCATCTATTACCATCTTACAACAAATTCAAGATTATTTGTACAGAGATTTTCACAATACATCTGTTTTCAAAAGCAGCTTTACAGAAAATACTTGTTTCAGTGTTACAATTTAGGAAGTATTCTGTTATAAGCCAGAGATGGGTGTGTGAAGGTAATGTTCATAAGGCACTAATACACAGCTATAATCTAATACACATTATGTGGTTCCTTAACATCATGTATTCAGTGAAGCAGACATTCTAATTTACAATAAATATGACCTCATGACTTCTAAGCAAGCATTGATATTACTTTACTACTGATTCCTAGGTCAAGAAAAATTATTTGAAAGATGAATCATTTGTCTTATTTATAAATAAACCTAAACATTTACTGTATTGTATTGTGTGTGTGTGTGTGTGTGTGTGTGTGTGTGTGTCCGGTCAGCTTTTTTACAGACTACAAAAATACATAAATACATAATAAAAAAAGGAGAACAAATTAACAAGAACAAAAGTAAATGGTGCTCAACTCCTTATATCATCCTCATAATTAACAGAGTCAAACCAAAGGTAAGCTGTCTCTGTTGTTGCGTACTGGCTTTTCAACCTGACAGAGACAATGAATCAAAAACTGTAAATCCAGCATAGAGAGGTTCGGTGAATGTGGAGGTGAATGTGTGTAAGTGTGTGAGTGTGTGTGAGTCAGAGACCTTGTAGAGGGACAGAGTGCCAGCTGACACATCCACATACACTCCTACTCTCTTAGAGGAGTGTGAAGGGACACGTATGTCAATTGAACTAAGATTGTGCCAGACAGTAAATCTATTATTAATACATATCAAACTCCAGGAGTTTTTATTGTATCCAAACTCACAGGAACAACTTCCTCCTTTCCTTCTGATTCCTTTATATGTCACTGAGATAATAGCATTTCCACTCCATTCAGTCTCCCAATAACAGCGTCCAGACAGACTCTCTCTACACAGAACCTGAGGACACCCATCAAATCTGTCTGGATGATCAGGATATGACTGATACTCTTCCACATGTGTCACCTTTCTTCTATTCTCAGACAGAACGAGATGATTGTGTGCTGTGTTTGGATCCAGTGTGAGATCACAGGCATCTGAACACAAGAAAAGAGTCATTTATAACAGTCACTAAAGGGGTGTGTGTGTGTGTGTGTGGGTGGGTGTGTAGACATACATTTGTGTAGTCCTGCTGTAATCCTCAACTCTCCTCCATGATCTACACTGTAAAACACACACAGTGTCACATTCTGCAGATCTCATACAATCAGTAAACTCAAACAAGCACACACAGCAGTGTCAACATACTTGAGATTGTCCAGTGTGCAGTTTGGATCCTCCAGTTTTTCAGAGAGCAGTTTGACTCCTGAATCTCCTGGGTGATTGTAGCTCAGATCTAGCTCTCTCAAGTGTGAGGGGTTTGAACTCAGAGCTGAAGACACATAACCACAGCCTTCCTCTGTCACCATACAGCCAGACAATCTACAACACAGACAGCAACAGTCCAGATCGTCAATTAAAAGTACACAATGTAATTTTTTTTGTTCAAAATGTACAGAATTGATAAAAATTAGTGAGTACTTTATCAATCCATCTTCCAAAACTTTTTCTACTATGGCATGCCTATAATGAAGTTTTTATATTCAGACTATTTCTGATCGAGCAGGACACCAACCACTGCAGAGTAGCTCAGTAACTGCATGACTTGTTATATATATTGTGGTGATGTGATCAACCATTTTAGTTATTGGGGATGAAATGGTATGTTCCACGGGTATAAAAGGAGACTAGCCTGACATCTAACTAAGCGCATCATTCGGGGTCTCGGAAGTGACGTGATTTATTGGTGCGCCGTGTTTCTGTCCAGGAGTGTGGCTGAGGAGTAATACGGACACATTGAGCGAATGTTTATCTTTGCGAGTCTTTAACTTGAATGCCATCAAGTGTGCTGGGTGGCGTGAGTTATTATTCGCCGTGACATGGGGACCAGGAGGTGTTGCAGCAGGCTTTGTGAGCGCTGTTAGGTTTTGTGACCATTCTTGAGCCATATGGATTACTATCTGCATGCGGAAATGAATGCCTGAACCGAAAACATTTCCGGACGGATTGGATTGGATTGTGTTTTATTCTCTCTGCAAGCTGCTCTCCTCGACCACTCTTCTGTCTTGTACCGGAAGACGCATTTGTTGCAGTTGTGTATTTAGCATTAACCCAATTGATTGACTATCTCATTTCAGAGAGCAAGGATCACCTCGACGACCGGAACAATAGCACGTTCCCGGCCGGTGGTGGCGCGTTTAATTTAGTAGTTTCCAGCATTTGTTGCTCAGAGGATTTGAGGTGGGGTAACTACAGTGGCGAGAAGCTACGTGTTTGCCACTACTATGGTGTTTCATTGTGAATATTGCTGTTATTTTGTATTTTTGTTCTTTTTGTTTGGTTGTTTGGAAATTGTTGTATTTGTGCTTTGCATGTTTGTTTTGTTATGTAGTCTTGAATGACACTTTAAAGGATGACTCTGTGATGCCAAAAGCTAGTGGACACCAGCTAGTGAGCGGTCGCCATTATTATGTGACCTACTGCAGCACGTGATAAGTGTTTTTGACAACTCATAACGTGGAAAGTGCATTTGTGTATGTGTGTGTGATTGGATTGTTTTTCATCTTGTTTTCTTTTCCCTTCAGAATTGGGGTGCCAGTACTGGCCAGAGTCCTCTGTGTGTGGTGGTGGTTCGGCTGTCCGTCTGCAGTGTTCACAACGGGGGTTTTGGGTGCTGTGTTGTGAGAGAGCACGAGTGGTTGCTGTGTTTTTTGGATAGGCGAGACGAATTCCCCAGTTCTGAAGTGGTAAAATTGTGTGTTCGTGTGGGTGTGTAATGTTTTATGATTGATGTAGTCTTTTTTTAATGTTTGTATATTATAAAGACCAGTTTTGTATTTCCTTGTTGAATAAATTGTGTGAACTTCCCATCGTTGTCTGATATCTGTTTCAGCCACTACGCATCTGTGTGCTTGTGGTATTTGGTGTACCTGTGGGTCCCCGGCCAATTTCCGGGGTGGCGTAGTCTATTTATTGCCATAATTGGCGTTGTGTTAAGCTTTTGATAGCAGACTGCCACAATATAAACAGAGCAAAGTTTGCATTATTGCAAATGCAATAATGATGCATTTAAAAGTTAATGGCCAAACAGGTGTTTATAAAAGTTCACATTGTTGTTGTTGATGAAATATCCTAACTCAGATAACATTAAATAAAATATTTTAACAGGTTAAATGTTGATTATTAGTAACTCAAACCTGGGTGGTCAAATTGGTGGGTTTTTGTTAAATGTGAGCCAAAATCATCACAATTAAAAGAACCAAAGACTTAAACTACTTCAGTCTGTGTGCATTGAATTTATTTAATACACGAGTTTCACAATTTGAGTTGAATTACTGAAATAAATGAACTTTTCCACGACATTCTAATTTATTGAGATGCACCTGTATGCTTTGGGACACACTTATTTTAATCTCACATACTAATTAGGATGGATATTATGAACATTGGGATGCAGGGCGAGTCCTCAAGATCACTAGAAAGCTACAGGCAGGTGTGTTTAATTAGGGTTGGAGCTAAACTCTGGAGAGCAGTGGTTCTCCAGGACCGAAGTTGCCCAGCTCTGAACTACACTAAAATGGTGAAAACAGAGCTTTTTGAAGACACTCTCCCAGGTGGATAAATTTGAAAATGCTGTTTTCACATTGTAGTGTGGACTGCAAAACTGGAGGTATTCAGTAATTATGGCATGTGTTCAGTAATGTGATATCCCATAGATGTCTGTGGTTGTACTGGCATTGTTGTGCCTGCTATTCACTTTAATATTGTTAAAGTATAGTTAAAGATAAATGTTATTTGGCATAATCTTCATTTTGCATTCTAGTGAATATGACTGAAAATGTACTTGCTACATGGAATAATGATTTTAAGTGCGACCTGAATGCGGCAGTGAGTGGTGGATTATTTTGTTAATAAAATTATTGTGCCTGAAAAATGGTGTGATAACTTTTATGTCTGTTTGCTGTGTATCATGTCAGTGAGCTTTTATTACATCTTACGCATGCACAGTAAGTTGATTTAAGCATTTTCAGACGTTTCAGTGTGGACACAAAACTTTTGAAAAATACTTGAAAAAGCTAGTGTGGATGAAGTGTGTTGAAATGAAAATTGTATTTGGATTATTGTGGACATAGATTTAGTTGCAGATGGAGCTCCACTTTTTCAAACCTATGTGTTTTTCCGTGATGTCTTTGTGTCATTTACCGAAATCAGTCAAGCAGAATCACTCTGCTATTTCTCTGTTGCTTGGTTATAAGAAGTGTTTAAGTTCAGTTCAGAGATGCATTCCATTTACCGTAAATGCTCTGTGAAGTGGACTTCTCAGGTTATTCCACAAAGTATTGTCTTTTGTTGTTATGGGCGCGTCTACAGATTTCTTGCCATATGTCTATGTTTCTTGCATCTCACGATTATGTCGTGTATGAAATAATGTCTTGTGTGCATGTGTGTAAAACAACAAACTGACTATTTATATATAATCATTTGTAATTGTATATACATTATTGTTCCAGCCACAATTAATCACAACAATGTAGCTGTAAAAGTAGTTGCCTGCTGAAATTGAAATGTATATACATCTTCATCATGACTAGATAGACACGGTGAGTTTGTCTTTACTATACACGTTAGATGTGATCCACCTCATAGTAACAATCCTGTCAGATCGTCCATCCTTTGAGTGAGAGTGTAACGTTACAGG